CTGAGTTCAATTCCACCCTTGGGTGACTGTCTGTGTGGAGTTTGTACATTCTTCTTGTGTCCGCATGGGTTTCCTTCCATGGTTCAAAGCCTTGCAGGTTAGGTGCATTGGCCCTGCTAAGATTGCCCACAGTTTCCAGGGATGTACAGACTAGGTGGATTAGCCATGTGAATGCAGGGTTACAGGCATGGGGCTGGGTCTAGGTGGGATGCCCTTCAGAGGGTCAGTGTGGACTCAATGGGCTAAAAGGCTTGCTTCCCCACTGTAGGGATTTAATGACTTTGAACTATGATGAAGACAGATAAAAGTGCTTTCTACATGGTGAGAAGGCAGGAATGATGGGGTAGGCAGACTGATTTAGGAACCCAGATTCAGAAATCACTGAGAGGAACAGACAAAACAGGAGGTTGTGTCACAGCATCCCTGCTTCTGAGCCATTAATCCTGTGTTCAAGTCTCACTCTCTGACTTGACAATCATAGAAGGTACATCCATAATGCAATGAAGCAGGTTGTATATGGACTTGTAAATCCTGCAAAGACACAACATAGCCACCCAGATTCTTTGAAAGAGCTGAATGCCTGGTGTCGACCAGATTGACCCCAACATCATGGGGTTCAATCCCTGATTTAGTTGAGGTGGATTTGAGACCTTCCCTTTCTTTTACCTGTGGGAGAGATTGTGGTACTCTGGGAGGTCCTGCATTTTGGCAGAGAACCGAAGAAGATCAAAAATAATAATTAAAAATAAAGCTAATCAGAGTCCTCCATCTGGAAGGAGCTGAAATACAAAGGGATGGATGTTGTGCTGCAATTCTATAAAGCTCTGGTTAAAATGCATTTAAAGCAGTAGATCCTTAAGAAGGATATATTAGCCTTGAAGAGTGTGCTGTTATAGTTTTACTAGAATGATGCCAGGGCTAAAGGGATTATGTTATGATGACAGGTTGCATAGTCTACGCCTGCATTCTATGAGTACAAAAGAATTAGGGCTGTGCGACTGGGCTATTTAAGATGATGAAAGGATTTGATGAGGTTCATACAGAGAAACTATGTGTTCTCAGCAATGGGTCATAATTTTAACATTAGAGCTGGACTTTTTAAGGGTAATATTGGAAAGCAACTGTAAATCTGGATGTTGTTCCTTCATAAATCTAAGGTTGGATGACCCAAAAATGTAAACTGAGATTGGTGCATAGGATATAGGTATTACAAGATTTGAGACCAATCTGTTCTTATGGATCAGTTAGAGGTCAGCAATGATCTAACTGAATGGGGTAAACATTTTGGGGAGTTATGTAATCCATTCGTATTTCTATAATCTTCACACCAAGTATTTGAATTCCACAATGAGGGGGATTAAAGCACCAGATTCTCTGTTGGTCAGTCCTGTGCTGCCTTGTTTCCTTCTTTTGTGAGAGAGAGAACCATAATTGTGATCTACAATGTGAAATTTTTCTGAAAACCAAAGTGGATTACATCAGAGGCTGCTATGAATAAATAAAACTTCCAATGATTTGAAACTCAAAGCAATTGGAAAATTACTAATTGTGGTATATCAGCAACTCTCGGAATTGCATAGGTTGGTTTTAAAGAAATATTGTTCTCGAAATCGCTGAAATTTAATCATAACAGGGTTTATGTGGTGAATCTTTGGCTGCACTTACAGTTCAGCCTCAGATAGCAGTTTGGGTTTGAGAGTTCTCTCCCTGCAGACACATAAATTTGTTAATGTTCAGACACTATGTATGAAATACACTGTGGAAAGTAATCGAAACACATTCAGTACATATTCAGTATTGAATTTCATAGGAAGAACTGAATCTCTGCCTAAAAAGGAAGAGCAAAACTGCAAAAAGCTGCAACACAAAGTGATCTGGGGATATTTGTACACAAAACAGAGAAAGCTCGTGCATGTTGTAGCCAGTAATCAGGAAAGCTAATGGATTGTGGGCCCTTATTTCAAGGTTTTGGAGTATAAGAGGAAGGAAGTTCTACTGCAACTGTACAAGGTGTTGCTGAGACCACATCTAGAGTACTGTGAACAGTTTTGTTCCCCTTATTTATGAAAATATATCATTTCATTGGAAACAGTTTAGAAGAGATTCATTAGGTTGATCCCTGGTACGGAGAGGTTGTCTTATGAGCAAAGGTTAAATGGATTGGGACTCCAGTCATTGAAATTTAGGAGAATGAGAGGTGATCTGGTTAATGGGTAATGATTTTTAATGGGCCTTGACAGAGTAAAAACTGAGAGGATGTTTCCCTTTATGGGACAGTCTTAAGTCGAGAGCACAGTTTCAGATTTAAAAGGCTTCTATTTAAAACTGATATGACAATGGGTCTTTGGAACTCCTTGCCACAGAAAGCTGTGGGAACAGGGTCCTGCTGTATATTTAAGGCTGAGATAGATAGATTCTTGATGAATACGGGAATCAAAGGTGATGGGGAAATGTCAGGAAAGTGGACATGAGGAATGTCCAATCAGCAATGATCCTATTGAATGGTGGAGAACTCACGGGGCTGAATGGGCTACTCCTGTTGCTATTTCTTTTGGTCTTGCATTGCAGGTCTAAGGGGTAAGAGTAGGTGAATGGAACCATTTAGTTAGTACTTTCAGGCAGTCACAGCTTTCATGGGCCAGATCCCTCAGTCTTGTTTGGTTCTATGATACTGCATTGGGGAAACATCCTGCTGTCTACACATTTATAGGTTCGGTTGGGTCAATGACCCATGACTTATAATAAGTCATATTGGACTTATTCCTGTATATGGCATTAACCAGTTTAAGGATCTCGGAAAATCTAATCGCATTTTATCTAGGATTCAGGTGAGACCTGGATGCTGCAAAGTAAGTTTGGTATCTGTGTAAAACAGAAATTGGTTTTGGTTGACATTTTTTACTGTACCCTGAAACATATTCCTACTCCTGAGAGAAAGTGTGGTGGGTGATTATGAGAATGGACAGGGGAGGAGGGAACTGATCAATATGCTCAATTTCTGATCAACATCTTAAATACAACACTGACCCACATCGATTCGTTGGAACAACAATATTTACATCTGATTAAAAAGTTCACTTCAGGGAAACAGCTAAAAAGAGAGATATTCTCACTGGATCTGAGGGACATTAGTATACAGAGGATTCTCATGTAACGAGTGGGTCGTTCATCCTCTGTGAAGCTCAGCCCGACGCCTTTCTACAAACCCTCGAAAAACCAACAGAGAATGGGGCGTTCACTCGCTTCATTTAGAACCCGGCTAGACATTAAACAGAAGACTCAGATATATAAAAGGAAGCTGGAAGTCTGAAACCAAAACAGAAAACGTTGGAGATATTGAACAAATCAGGAAACATCCTGCAGAGAGAGTGACAGCGATGGAGCGGAGTGAGCTCTGATGAAAAGTCACCTCCAGGAGTCACCAGTTGATGAAATGCGATGGAGTCTCTTCGCTTCTGATAACCCCGCTGATTCCAGCGGGATATTTGACCTTACCTGGCAATCTTGGAACATTTGCATCGACAGTGATGGCCTGAAACGTCTTAACTCGCTGTGGGTCAGCCAAACCTTGTTAGTATCTTAAGGCAAGCTTACTTAGCAGGTTAATTCGACGAGACATATCTAATAGAACATCAACCGGCTGATATAAAGAGGCGTCATCTTCAGAAAGGCAGTTATTGTTTATCAGACTAAAACACACATAATTACAAGGTATGGGAGAAACTTTGGACTTGTCCGTGCTATTTGTATGCAGGGATTAACTCACAAATAGATCGAAAGGGTCTTGCAGTTCTTGTAAAGAAGCCTGCCAATTTCTTTTTTGTGTATATATCGCCCAGCGCTATCACAAAACGAGGTAAAGCGGTGGCACGAATGGCCTCATTCAGCGCCTGATCATTCGGGGATGCCATTGTCAAGCGAGGGCTTGCATTTACATAGCGCCTTTCGGGACATAAGCGATGTCCCCAAAGAGCTTTCCAACCAATGAATTGTGGGTACCGCTGTGACGGAGGACAGGCAGGAGCCAATTTGTGTACAGCAAGGACCCACAAGCAGCAATGGGATAAGGAGCAGGAAGGATTTTTATTTGGTTTGATGTTGGTTTGGAGCTCAGCGGGCCCACCCTGCCCGGCTCCTCTCTGGAATAGTGCTGGTGGGCTGCAGCGGAGGCAGAGCTACCGCCTTAACAAAACGGCATCTCCAACAGTGAGGCACACCCTCGGGTGCTACTCGTGTGCTTCAGCCCAACCTTATACCCTCGAAAGACGGTGCAGGCGAATGAATCACTCCCAAAGAGATTCCCTGTCTCCTGCTCCAGCAATCGCCAATTTACCGACATATTTCCGCATGAAATTATGGCAGACAAATCCTCACTTCTGTATACAACGCCCTCCAACACTCCCTCAAATGGCACAGATTGGGAACGAGTGGACAGTGAGTTGGATTCAGAATGTTGAATATTCCCTGGAGCCCGTATGGTTTACCAACAGAGAAAATTAATTCGAGAAGCTCACATTGCATTATCTACATTGCACGCTTTCTACATCATTAGCATTCCTTGAATATAATGGATCAGTGTGACCTCACACATGAATATTTCAATACAACAGTTGAACCGACTAAAACAGAAACTGCTGGAAAAGCTCAGCAGGTCTGGCAGGAGGGCTGCCAGTCCTGCTGGGCTTTCCCAGCAATTTGTTTTTTTTTTGTTTCTGATTTGCAGCATCCTCAGTTCTCTCGGTTTTTCTTTACTTGCAGCTGGAAATAAAGAGTACAATAGAACACAAATTGTTAACCATATCCTCTTGGTCTGTCTTTGTTTCATTCGACCCGCTTTGTCCAGTCAGTATCTTGCGGTCTGTCGCCCTGTTGCGATTGGATGGGGCGGATGACACGTGGCTGACATTGGATTGTGACGAAGTGAAACAACGTCAACGCTATTGGTTACATTCTCCTAACTTGGTCTCTTTTAAAACAAAATAAACACTCACAAGATATTGTCAAGTTTCTATTTTTTTTGTATTGTTGACTCACAGACCGTACGAAAATTGTTTTAAATACACAACTTGCATTTCGATAAGCGATTGTCCAGAACCTTGAGTGAATACGTTAATAGGGGTGAAAAATAAGGGAGTCGGTCACACAGTGTGGTATTATTAAAATTAGGATTCAGCCAGTTATTTTTTTGTTTAAAAAAAAAAGAAAAACCGTACTGGAGTCACACCGAGCATTGTAATGGTAGAGGGAACATTTAGGTCCAGGGAGGGAGGGAGGGGGGGGGAACAGAAGGTTTTAACGACAGCACACTGAGAAGCTTTTAGGTCGGCTCTGCACACACAGGAGGTTCCAACAAGTTGATATATCAAACTAGTACAGGTAAGGTGAAACATCCAGGTGCCGAGAGCGAAAATCGCACGTGTCCTGAAGGTGTCTCTATTGCAACGAGAATCCTGCACACACTTACACAGAGGTTATGGTTGAAATCAAGACCTTCGGAGAACGATCAGAGTGCCATTAATGTGGAGACGGGGACAGTTAAAATCTTGCACCCACGCTAAACTGACAGGCTCTGATGCACTTCAGGCAGGTCTATGGGCATCGGTGGCCTCCTGGTGCCCAGTTTTATTTTGTGTAAGAGGACGCCCCTAGAGCGGCAATCTCGCACACGAATTGCCTCCAAAGTGGTTCATTATCAATGTCAAAATCCATTTGCAGTAAATATCCACCGCCACTGCCGCCAGTGGCGCTTTAACTCTCTTGCTTTGCTGGCCTCGCTAAGGGCTCCCGTTTCTACAGAATTACAGTGCATTGGGTGCAGAAAGGTGGGAGTTTAAAGTCGATTTTTCTGTCCAGTCCATGGATTTAACCATCCAATCGCTCTTTGCTTTAAGAGAAAGTGATAGTGGAAAAGTCAGCACTAAGACTATAGCAAAGCACCCTTCAAAAAGCCACAAAAAACCAGCAGCACACCTAGTCCATCGCTTGCAGTTACGACCGTCGTACCTGCGAAAGAAGTTAAAAAATTCGCTCATCTGGAAGATTATGTTTCCCAAAATAACGTTGCTCACACACATGTAATTCACAGTAACGCTGGCATTTCCTGTCACTGTCGCATGCATTCACACAATATGGCAACCTGGTCCAAACCCAAAAAGGGGCCCAGGCAACGAGTGACCTTAAGAAGGAAGCAGCATTCTCAGAGGAAACTTCGAGTTACTGGAAGAACAAAACAACGTGAGAATGGTGGATCTGATGCATCATAAAATAACCAGCCGGAGCCTCTTTGCAGGTTTTTTTTCAGCGAGAGGTTGAGCTCAATTCGATTGACCAAAGATGATTTTGAAACGACACTACCACTCGCAAAAGCGTAGGTAATAACTTACATATGATAAACTGGTCTGATTATATGCTAGAGTAATAATAACAGTACACAACAAGCTTATAAACACCAAGCATCGCCTTTCCACAGTTAGACCAAATATATTACATTCAGCCTGCATAGATTCTAGGAAGACAAGGTCTACCTTAATAGGGGATGTAACAAAATCGTGGACACGGAGGGCAGCGCTATTCCATGCCATAGTTTAAATAGTGGATGAAGTGTTTAATAGCATGGATGCAACAATTTGTAGAGTTGACTTGCCACTGTTGGCCAATCCTTCCAATTACACAGATTACCCTTGTGGTTTGCATCACACCATGATCTTTTGTTATTCTTTGAACCATGCCCTGGTCTAACACAATCCTAAATTATGGTGTTCACTTACAAATACCTTGCATCGTGCGCACAAGGCCTTTGCCTCCTTGCCATCTGCTCACATTTGATTCTTAAGGTCTGCAATGCCATTGGATTCAATTCTGTTGGCCTTCATTCCCGTTGTTACTTAAGGCATTGCACACAGATTGCATGTGCTTTCTGAGCTGGCATAGAGAGATTAACTAGTATATGGCTCTTTCTGATAGCCTACACCTGAAAAAAAATTTACAGGTCTTGGTTTCCTGGTCCTAAGGCAACATCGCTGATAATAATATGGCTGCTCTGTCATCTCTCCTGACATTGGCCAGATGTTGCTTTTTTTCACAGCGATATGGCTGCTGCCTTTGCCCAAGCAGCTTAAAACACATTTTTATGTGATTGGAAATCACTTTCAAATCACCCGAGGTCTTGATTTAAGGTGCAACGTAAATGGGAGTGTTTTCTGTACCTCGTTCTAGCAAAATTACCCAGTACAGTTTTCTGTATCATCTACATGGAGCTACCCAAATGCTCCCTACAGTACAATAGTTTATATATTATGATTGAATTATATACAGACTTCGCATCTATAAGAACCTAATGGCCTCCTACTGGAATCTTGGTAATGCTGTATCCGTCCATCTGCCGCAAGTGTAGGAGCAAATTACTGCAGATGCTGGAATTTGGACTGAAAACAACAAATACTGGAAATCACAGCGGGTCAGGCAGCCTCCATGGAGAGCCTGCAACCTAAGGTTTCGAGTCTAGATGACCGGCTCTGATGAAGTGTCGTCTAAACTCGAAATGACAGCTTTCTCTCTCCCACGGATGCTGCCTGATCCGCTGCGATTTCCAGCATTTTTGGTTTTCAGTACTAAACGTGTAGGTTCACAAAAGGGAGTGCAGGTTTTGTTTTTGGATTATTCCTTTCCAGTGAAGTTTCTGTCATTGATCCACGTTCTTGTGGGTAAGTAGAAGTTACATATTGCATGGCTACGCTGGACAGCGGATGAGGGTGAGAATTCAGTGTGTGAATGAGCCCAGGCTGACAGTAACATTGCTGCTGTAGTCTCTGCCTGCCTTACCTGATGTGGACGTGGCACTCTGCCTGAGGATTGTGGCCGCGGGCCTGGTTGTGGCTCTGGTCTGTCCCACGTGCGCCACTCGGTTGCTGGGGGAGTGCCGGCCCGGTCGCTCGCTGGAAGGTACCGCTGCCGGTCCGGCTGGTGCCCGCAGCCCCTTGCCGTCGTGCAGGGGGAGAGGCGGCGCCTCGAGTGCCTGTAGTGCCCGGGCGTGGCTGGCATTCACATACAGGTGGCCCTGAGCCTTGTACTCATGCAGCTCGCCATTGTTGGCGTCGGTCACCCGGCACTCGTACAGGCCCTCGTCATCCTTCCGCACTTTGGAGATCTGCAGCTTGTGTGAGATGTCGCTGCCCATCACTTTCACGGTCTGTAAAAGGGGGAGCGAACGGACAGAGGCAAGAGGCGAATGAGCAGCTCACAAACCAAACACCAGCGATCTCACCATTCCCACCCATACACACCATCCTCGTTCCCACCAACTGGAAGGGGAACAAAAAAATACCCAAGACCCTCACCGCAATCTGTAAGAAATTCAAAAACAATAAAAAAAACCCATCTGAGCTGGTAGCAATCTTGTTCAAGGGCTCAAATGTCGATTCTACACCGCATTAGTGTTAGTCAGGGCCTTGCCAAGATGTAACAAGTGTCAGGTCACAGAAACATTGCAACATTAAAACCAGGAGCTGCAGTAGGCCATTCGGTCCCCCTGATCCTGCTCTACCATTCAATATGACCATGACTAATCATCCCTGTTCCTGCTTTCTCCCAATATCCTTTTAGCCATATCCACACTTTTCTGGAAAATCTGCAATGCTCTGCTCTCAACAGTTTCCTGGTGGCAGGAAGTCCCACACTCTCGCTGAGTGAAGAAATATCTGCTCATCTGTCATAGGCTACACCTTCCAGTATTGTGTGAGAATTGGACCTGCCCTTTCTACAGGAGAGGACAATGTGATGGAGACTGTTTGGACAAGCCTCTGCTGTAAATTGCATCAGGTAGAAAAGGATGCACTGTCTGTCCCAAGTCCAAGATGAATCATTATGGAGAGTGGAAATCGTTCACCCCCGTATACCAGCATCGACATTAAACTAAATGAGCAAGTCCTGGTGACGAAACTGGGGCGGCACGGTGGCACAGTGGTCAGCACTGCCGCCTCACAGCGCCAGGGACGCGGGCTTCATTCCAGCCTCGGTCGACTGTCTGTGTGGAGTTTGCACATTCTCCCCGTGTCTCTGTGGGTTTCCTCCGGGTGCACCGGTTTCCTCCCACAGTCCAAAGATGTGCAGGCTGGGTGGATTGGCCAGGCTAAATTGCCCGCAGTATTTAGGGATGTGTAGATTGGGTGAGGTACAGGGCGATGGGTCTGAATGGGATGCTCTGGGGGTCGGTGTGGACTTGTTGGGCCGAAAGGCCTGTTTCCATACTGTAGCGATTCTATGAAATTAGGACGTTACTTTTGGGGGGGGAACTGAACCCCGTCGTATGACGATTTGCTCCGAAGGACACAGAAACAGCTATAAAATTTGCGACTGCAAAACAGTTTATTGCGCTTATGATGGGAAATCCCTACAATGTATTCTGTTCCACAATATGACAGTGACCAATTAAAAGAGCGAAGCTGTTAATTAACATTATCATTCATCGCATTCACTGCATTAGGAATTAATCGAATTTAAATGAACTTCAATTGCGAGATTTGGTTACTTTTTTTAAAATCACTTGCACACTTTCCTTGAACATTGTCGCCTCTCGCACACAACGGGAGCAGCCAATGAACATATATATGTCTTATTCACCGTTCTATGTTACTGGGGGGGGGGGGGGGGGGGGGGGTCAAGATTCCTACAGAGCTCCCTGTGTTCCTGCATCCGTGTTTTCACTGACAGCCTGCAGCTGTGCTGTACAAACGGCCCTTAAACTGATTCCTATACCCCATTAAACCTCTGCCCGCCTCTCCCCCAACCCCTCAAAACTACCCCCCTCAAAAGAAACCTTCGCAACCCGAGTCCATCCACTTCGAAACGGCAGGACCGACGCGCCGCGGAGACCCACGTTAGATCCCACAGACAGTTTCCATTCCCCTCCCTCAGGGCTGTACAGCACTGCATTCAGGGGGCACACTGCTGTAAAGTCCCTTGCTCCCAGCCTTAGGTCAGACCTTCTTACTCACACTGATCTTCGTCTCGTCGTTGATCATTTCGCTTTGTGGCAAAGTGTCCAACTGCATGAAGACAAAACAATTGATTAAAACGTGAGGCAGAGGCAGCACAGACAAAACAAAAACAAAATGACCCAAACAAGGCCGGAGACGACTCGCCACAAAAACACGACAATTTCGACAGCACTGATCCGACAGAAGCTGTGTCCACGGCTGCACATCAGACGTTAATATCTTTGATTTCCAAACGCCCCTTCTGCGTATCGCTGTGAATTAAATCGCATCCCATCAACCGGCCCAGTGTCTCCGATGACAAAACGGGGCAATTTTATCTGTGTTCGCAGATGGCGTTCCAATCTATGGTTACGGTTTGACGGTGAAACGCTTGCCTAATCTCTCTCGTGTGTCGATATCACTCCATAATCCAGGAATTGATAAACTGCCAACTTTTTCCAATACTGTACGGATTGGAGCCTGCTTCCCCCCATCCCCCATTCCCCAAGTACACAGGGACGCAGTCAATTAGCAAAGCTGAACGGTTGGGGCGACCTTAGAATGAAAAGAATGGGGCACAGTACTTTGTTCTCATCTCCTCTACTTCAGCGTACAGCAGTGCAGTAACTTCTCAGGACTAAGAATGACCCAACTCGATGTTTTCATGTGGTTGTAATCACGGGCTGCATTAGCCTCGACCTTTGACAAGCGACTCAGAGCTTCGTCCTGCCACCTATCTCTTGTATATTTCGACTGCAGTGCCCTCACTATGCCACCTCCCCTGCACCCCCCCCCCCCCACACCCACACACAATAACACTTGCGGAGAATTCTCTTGTCTCACTAACAGGGGTAGGATTTTTCAAATCTACTTGCAGCCGAGTTTCCGCTCATGCATTTGACAAAGACCCCTCGATCGGACAGATGTTAACGCGAGTTGTGTTCTGTAAGCAGGAAATGAGGTCGTATCCTCACGTAGAACTACATGCGTTCCCCCATCAAACTGCTCAACGCACGGCGCGCCTGGCCTCCTGGACATCATTTTTTCAATAACGCAACGTTTCTAAGTCTCTTAGAGACTCTCGTCGAAAATAAATAAATCACACCACAAAAAAAGTTGGGGGGGGGGGAGGTTGTTTGCAGTTCTGATTATCTTCTTACATTACTCGTGTTTTCCTCGACGTACCCGAGTTTCTATGGGGGGGTGTTCATTTTGGCCCCGAGAGGGTATAGGAGAGGATACACCACCGAGCAGAGAAATGCTCTCTCAAAAATCCAGCCAACCTCAAAGACGAAACGGAATCTTCCCGCAGGTACAAGCCAAATAAACCATCCAAATTAACGCAAAACAGGGTATGCGTGTGTTTGTGTTGGGAGGGGGTTTGGGTGAGTGTGCGCACGTAATGGTGAGGCAGTACGTGAGTGTGTGAGACAACGTGTAAGGCCGTGTGATAAGGTGTGTGACTGTTTGCCTGAGTGAGTGTGGTATGGATGTATGCATGGGTATGTGTCAGGGAGTGATGAGGAGGCTGAGGAAGTTTGAGAGTATGTGAAGATATATGGCTGTTCAGATGAAGGTGTGCGTGTGTGTGGCTGAGGATGTGTGTGTTTGTGTGTGTGCACGTTTCTATACACCTGTGCATATTTGAAGGCTGAAGAAAGATGTTTGTGCATGTGTGGCAGTAAGGAATTGTATAGACTTTAGGGCTAAAGAAGTGTGGAGGTGTCAGGGAGAGTGTAGGTATGTGCATGGGTTTGTTTGAGGGTGTGACTGGGGGAATTGTGTGTGGGTGGGCATTTTTTATGGCTGTGTGAGGGATTGTGTCAATGTGCAAGAGTTTGGGAGTGAATGTGTGTATGAATATCTGTGTTTTAGAACATGCATGCATCTGTTTGTGTGTGTGACTGAGAGTGATTGCGTGGATGTGTAATTATTATAAGTTCATATATTTAAGGAAGTCTGTATGTGTGTATGAGGCATCATATGTGTGTGAGACATCATCTGTGCGTGAGGCATCATGCGTGTGTGAGGGATTGTGTGTATGAGGGATTTTGTGTGTGGAGTTTGTAAGATATTGCCTGAAGGAATGTATGTCCTTGAGGAGTCTGGTTACGGATGAATGTGTGAAGTTGCATCGATGTGATAGAATATACATGTGATGGATGGTGCACATGTGTGAAGATGTGTGAGGAAACATTTGACTATGAATATTTGTGTGTGTTTAAGGGTGAATATGTTGGAACGTAGGTTTGCATGTGTGAATCTGGGTGAGAGTGACTGTGGCTGCTTAAAGATGTGCGTGTTGGAATCTGTGTAAAGGAGTGTATGAGTATGTATGGGAGGGGGTGTGTCGCATGCGTGTACAAAGGATGTCTGTATATGAGGGAATGTGTCTGAGATGGAGTTTGTGTGTATGTGTACGTGAAAGCCTGTGTGGAGTATGTGTTTTTGAAGTGTGCATGTGTTTTTCTACATGCAGGAGTATGCCTGAGGTTGAGTGATGTGTGAAGACATACGTGGAATCTATCTGTGTGTATGTGTGTATGCAAAGGTATGCTTATGAGGGAGTATATGAGTCAGGGTACATGTGTGAGGGTGCATTAATAGCAAAAGGGTGTATGCGTGTGTAGAGTGTTTTCATGGTATGTGAAAGATTTTGTTTGTGAGGGAGAATGGGGATGAGAATGAGAGTGTGAAGTGATTGTGTGATGTGAGTATGCATGAAAATGTTTGTGCTTATGAGAGTGTGTGAAGCGTTTGCATGTGAGTGTGTGTGTGCAGGGGGTGTGTATGAACAGTTTGTGTGTGACAGTGTGTGTGTATGAGGGTGTGTGATCAGGAGTTTGTGATAAATTTGTACATAAGGGTGTGTGAATGTGAGGGTGTGTGTGGAGGGAGTATGCGAACAGTTTGTATGTGAGTGTGCTTGAGATGCAGGAGGGAGTGTGTGACGAGTTTGTATGTAAGGGTGTGTGTGTGTGAGGGAGAGAGATGTGGCGCTTGTGAAAGCTTATGTGTTTGAAGGATGTGTACACAAGTGTAAGTGGGTGCACAGAGAAGCCGGGCTGAGCAAGTCTCCCTGGAGCTGCTGAGTACCTGGATCTTGCTGGCCTCTGGACTGTATTCCTGCTCCGATGGAGCTCGGATGAACCACCACTGGATCTCTAGGTAATAGGACGGGGAGCCGCTGCCCCTGAAAGCACAGGCCATTTCCACATTGTCCCCTTCTCTCGCTGTCACACTCTCGGGGAGCTCAGTAAACCGGGCTGGGAAAGAACAAATGTTCAGATTTGATCAACACGCGATGTAACTTCTCCCGCCAAACCATGAGTGAAAACAGCATGAAACCGAAAGGAAAGCTCTCACATCCCAAACCCTCCCCTCCCCACACGAAGCGCCCTGGCGCGCAACAGCTGGACTCTCTCTGTGTGTGTGTTTTATTAAGAGCCGGTGTTCATCCAGTCCGCACTCTCCATTCTCTTCCACCGCGCACGGGCATTAATGATTATTTACAATAATACATTTTAAATGGCAAGTTGGATGCTGAATACGAATGAATCTGGAATCGGCAGATAATGTAAATCATCTCATGTGGGGACATAAACTAATCCCTCACATTAAGTCACTGACAGTAAATTTATTCTCCACTCTTCATTCTGTCATTTCCTCGATCTCTCTCTCTCTTTTCCCCACTTTCTCTTCCTTCTCTGGGTCTTTCCTGGCCAGTTACGTTTCATTTCACTGGATTTCTGTTTCTCTCTCTTTCCTTTGCCCAATTCCTTCCCGCTCTTTCCCGTTTCACATTGAATTCTTCATTATTTCCTATTCGCCTCCACTGCGCTACACTGTTGATTCGCAATCTTCCTCGGACGCTCCACACAAATGAATTCCCCGCCCTCCAGTAAAGCGCTCTCTCACATGAACGCATCTTTCTGTTTTGTTGTGTTTGTTTTTGCAGGAGAGAGCGTGAGGCATTCATCTTCGTTTCGTCTGGAACTGCTGGGACACTCAAGGGGACTGGTGCTGGGCGTAAATTCTGGAGAAACACGGGCTTCTTCATGATGCATGTTTAGCGGGTGGAATGCCTCCGATTTTATGTCCCTTCACCTGAAATAACTAACTGACCCAATCAATCCCCTTCACGAGCAGCCCGGATCCCTGCAAAATCCTGACCACCGCGCTAATTTTTTTCTACCTTGTCTTGATGTTGCACTTCATTTTTCAGCAAAATTCCTTACGCCAGCCCCCACCACCACCCAGATAAAATGAGCAAACATATTCTCATGATTCCGACTATTAGCAAGGCTGCATTTTTTTTTTGATATGAACAGCAAGTAACTCCCTCTCTTTCTGTTTAACCTCAGTCTCTGGAAGGATTAAACATTTTCTTTTTGTTTTAAAAAAGGGCTTTATTTATTAAAAGGCACAGGCTTACCTTGGGACGAGAAACTCAAATGAGCGCAAAAAACAAAAAGGCACCCGAATCCCAGAGATAGAGGCAAGGCACCCATCATTCCAAACAGACATCAGCGGCGCAGTGTTCCGTCGTCCTGGTGAATTACCGAAATCAAACTGGAAATCTTCCTGTCAGCTGGTGTGATAAACGCTGCATTCTGCTCCCGCTTTGGTAGATGTGTGTGTGTGTGTGTGTTGGAGATCAGTGTTATTTTAGCTCTGGAGGTGAGCTCTATTGCAGCTGGTTAGCCGAAAGCCCCTGCTCCGGAGTGCCGCTGTCGAGTTTAACGAGGAGTAGCTGCTGTTTCTGTTTGCTCTCAGTACCTGGCTCCAGTGCGTCAGTCACTTCTCCCCATTGCGTCTTCACCCGCATCACATTCTGTTGAGCAGCCCCGGGAAATATCCGCCCATCATCAGACCAATCATTCTCACACGCTGCAACTTGCAGCGCTCCCAGTTCTCTCCCACCTCCCCCTTCCCCCCCACCCCGATGCGTGTGGAAGCTGCACTCTGCAAAATAACAAAAACACACACACACATCTTTTCGCCCACTTTTCAGCAAATAGGCGGGTCAAACCAGGGCTATTCTTCCCACCGCAACCCTGGCAAATAATGGTCGCCACCCAACTAATGCCCTCAAATGCATCCACTCCCTGCACATTGCAAGTAATTCTCACTCACTGTGACTAATGCAGTTTAGCCTTAATCTGGGTGCCGCCGCAGAGAGTGCTGTATTAATGCGGACCGGCTCCTAACATTTGGACACCGCAACTTTTCTACATCCCTGTAACCCGTCGGCGCCTCTCGCTGAATTCGACTGTGCGCCGGGCGAGGTGAAGGTGAACAGGTCCTTTGCAAATCTGGCCCTTTCTTTTACTTTATATTGTGGCGCAGTGTGTGGCATCTCCATATCTGAGCCAGAGACTCCGCGTTCCAGTGTTCCACTCTAGTACCTAACACTAGCGAGGACGGTAACTTGTAAGACCTTGTGCCGGCCGTGCTCAAGGCAATGAGAGTGGTCAAGCAAAGTGATGGAAAACAATTTACTATCACTATCCATAGCTGAAAATTACCAGCTGCATGTTATTATCCCTGCAGCATCTCCAGGCTCCGTAAACTGGGTAAAGTCACCAAACTCCTACTGGACCCTTAGGATGCCCTCTCTCATCAGGGACAGACAAGTTGTAGTGGCTTAACCTGAGGATCACTACACCTCAGGCAAGATTGAGAAAGAGAGTGCTTCATGGGAACAGTGTGGGAGTTGAAATCACAGAGTTGGCATTACTCAATGCCACACACCAGCTATCCAACCAACTAAGCTAACAGCCTGCTTGTCAGCAAGATCAGAATGTAAATGTCAAATCAGAGAGGCCCAGGGCTAGATCATTGAGAGGGCACTGGTTTCCCAGAAGTCAGAGAGGAGTAATTACTGGTAACAGCCTGGCTATGTTTAGATAGCAATCAATGGAAACCAGGTGAGAGCTGTCCCAACCCCGAGCTGCATTGTGGTAGAAAGTCATTGGGGGCCAACCCTGACAAGTGCTGCAGATGATCAAGAAGAAGGAGGTGGTGGGATCACCTTCATTAGTTACCATCACATAGGATGTTACTTATTACTTAAGATCAATTTAGGGATTGTGGCAGGAATGGCCACTTTTTGTACTTATGATAACGTGGTTGTGTTTGGCAAGGCCAGCATTATGGCTTATTCCTCACTCTGTTTGAACTAAGTGGGCAGCATGGTAGCTCAGTGGTTAGTACTGCTGTTTCACAACGCCAGGGACCCAGGCTCAATTCGACCCTTGGGTGGCTGTCTGTGTGGAGTTTGCACATTCTCCCTGTGTCTGCGTGGGTTTCCTCTGGGTGCTGTGGTTTCCTCCCACAGTCCAAAGATGTGCAGATTGGGTGGACTGTCTATGCTAAGTTGCACATAATGTTCAGGGAAGTGCAGGCTAGGTGGATTAGCCACGGTAAATGTAGGACCTTGGGTCTGGGGTGGGATGCTCTTCAGAGAGTTGGTGTGGGCTTGATGGGCCAAATGGCCTGATTCCACAGTGTGGGGGATTCTATGATTCTGTGCCTTGTGAGACCGTTTCAGAGAGCAGATAAGAGTCAATCACAATGCCATGCACCTGAAGTCACATGTAAACCAGACCAGGTAAGGATGGTAGAATTTCTTCCCTAAAGGTCATTAGTGAACCAGCTTGGTTCACATGACAATTGATGATGGTTCGTTATCACTATCCTTTTGGCTGCACATTCCAGATTTTATGCATTGAAATTAAAATCCATCAGCTGCCATGAGAGGTTTGAACCCATGTCCCCAAAGCATCAGCCTTGATCTTTAGTTCAGTGACATTAGCAACACACCACCATCCATAACCAGAATTTAAGTTTGAAACTCTGGGAAAGTTAGGCAAGTATTTGTGATCCATCTGAAAGTTCAAGACCTTTGGAGAGAAAATTTACAGCACAGGATAGGTTAACAGTTAATCATAGAGTCATAAAGCATGGAAATAGACCTTTCGGTCCAACCAGTCCATGCTGAACATAATCCCAAACTAATGTAAGTCCCTCCTGCCTGCTCCTGACCCATATCTCTCCAAACCTTTACTATTCTTGTACTTATCTAAGTGCCTTCTAAATGTTGTAACTGTGCCCGCATCCACCATTTCCTCAGAAAGTTCATTCACACGCGAACTACCCTCTGTGTAAAATATTTGTTCCTCATGTTTTTTGTTCAAATCTATCTCCTCTCACCTTAAAAATATGCCCCCTAGTCTTGAAATCTCTCATCTTAGGGAAAAGACAGCTACCATTAACCTTCCACACATGGCAATATCCTGATAAATCTCTTCTGGGCTCTCTCTAGCTTAATAATATCCTGCCTATAAAAGGCAACCAGAACTGGACATAATACTCCAGAATAGGCCTTACCAATGTCCTATACAACTGCAACATGACTTCCCAACTCCTATAACTCTAAGAATTGAGCAATGAAGGCAAGCATGCTAAATGCCTTTTTGTATTTTCAAGGAACAATAGTAGTGGAAGATTTGGAAGAGAAAATGACATTATTTGAGGAGTAAGATCCTTAAGAGTATTAGCTCACAGAGGATTCAGGAAGAAAATTTGGGTAACTTAGTAGGGATAGTGAAATATATTTTTCCACAGTAAAGAACTTTTTTATAGTGTTTTAAGAAGATCCTTGGAGCATTTTGGCCTAATCTTAATCTAACCCAAACAGACTGTTTTTACAAATAAGGTCACTTGATCTCTACCCCTCAGGTAGCCTTGTTTCCTATTCTCCAAATTCTGCTCTTTGTGTCTATGATTCAAATAATACACAATAAGCATTTGCTGATAACCCTTTGCATTATTGATAGGCCAGAGATGGTGAATTAGTATCATTTGTGCAACAGATTGTAAGTTTCAGTCTGTGTTTCACTCCCCCATATGCCATATGCCACGTGGCCTGTGTCACATCCTGTACATGCTCCATAGCACTGCTTGTTAATGACTGTATACATTACTCAGAAATGATAATACATTCTCTATTCAACAGAGTGTATGTACAATACCCTCAAAGATCATTATTGAGAACTAAGGCAACAAGCAATCATGAAGAACATTTTGGGATTCATTCAGTTTATCATTCTTTGCTTTAGGAAGAACACAACATGTTTCATTTTGATTCAGGCATGTTTTATTACCTTTAAATGGTTTTGTTTAGTTACATTCTGCAATCAATCATGTTTCTAAGTGTCACTATTGCCAACGGTGACACAAAAACTATTAAATCCAAATAAGATGCTCAGAATAAAACATTTTGTGATATTTAACTTTCACCATTGGCAAAAATAAATGGGTAAGCAATAACATAGATCAGTTTTACATTATAGATTAAGCCCCTCATCACATAACCATCTGGAAACTCACGAACCTATATAATTTGCAGGCAGCGCATATCTCTTTCCCATCTGTCTACCAATGGTGTCTTCCTTTGCCATCTCTATAGTTTAACCTCTTTCTCTGTGATGCCTCCACTTTCCAAAGGTATTTCTATTTCCCTCTGAAGTTTTTTTTTTATTTTGCTGCTGTTTCTGTTCTACATTCTGTATTTTTTCTTTGCCATGTGAGTTTTGCTTTCTCTATCCTCTCCCTCCGAACTTTCCGAGGATTTCTTTCTCCGGCACCCTTATCTATAATTTCCTCTCAACCCATCTTCTTTTCACTTGTTACACTGTCCCACAGTATATTCCCTAATCCTATGGCATTTTTTTTTAAACCTTGGAGCTTCCTAAATCACTTTTTCAGTTTCTATTCTTATTCTTTGTCTTCACAATATCTCAAGAAATATCATCAAAGTATACACTTTATAATTGTTTTGTAGAAAACTTCCATTTTGCATGCCCATCAGTGGTAGGTACCGTAGCCATAACATAGCAGATATTTTCATATCAAAGGATTTAAAAGAATAGAGTCTATAGTATGATTGATTTAAGAGGTTTTATGCGTTAAGAGCTGGACGTGTTAATCAGTCAAGGATCAGGATGAAACCCCATTACCAACCGTCATGTGCATTCCCCAGAACCATGCAAGCAGGAGGCTGCACATATAGCTATCTGTAACTACAAGTGGTTGTCTGAGCTGTTAAATAAATCTGTAAGTGATTTTCACGTAAACTGAATCTATACCATCTAACCTATGTTGCTTACTAATAGCACAAGAAATTCAACAGGGTCTACATCCAATTTCATGCTCCAAACATTAATTGATAGTTAGCATTACAATGATTATGTTAGAACCTACTGCGTAACATGCTAGTGCATGTGAATTGACTTACAGGCAACCAATCTACCTGCCATTGTTTCTCTAATGATGTGTCCCATTCTCATGTATCAGTTTCTCAATTTCCCCTGTTTACTGACATTTACAAAATACAGTTCCTGTGTCATTAGAGTGTTTGACTCACTAGGTTGTATGTATTCCCTCACAAGTGGGATTCAGCAGAGCTCCCAGGCTCCAGCTGTCTTTTTCCTGCACATTTGGTATGGTATCTCATCATAGAAGTGGAAAAAAAGACAGTGACCTTTATATGTTCACAGCCTTGTCTTGTAAAATTGGCATCCAAAAGCTGTCCTTTGCAACATGTCCAGCTCTTCAAGTCTCCCGAAAATCTATTTCACCAACAAAACTGAGTTAGGTCACCACAATCTCCCCTTAACTGCTCCAAATCCATTGGTCATATTTACATGATATCCAGGAATATTTTCATAATATTCTTGATGCTATATAGATGCAAGGCATTGTTGATTCTTTTTTTTGATATTATTTGTGTTTTGCATTGGCCTTGAAGCCAAATCTGAGTGATTGTTTTGTATTTCAGTCAC